AAGAGTTGGATGTTTAACCGACTCAGCCACCCAGGTGCCCCAAAAGTTTTCTAAATTTTAAGCTTATAAGTTTATAACTAGGTTGTAAACTTTATGTTTCTAACACTCTTAGATAAAAACAGGCACAAATCTTCATCATCTTAGATTAGGAAATGGTTTCTTATGTATGGCTCACAAAGCACAAGCAACTAAAGAACAAAATAGATAAATGAGATATTCTCAAAATCGAAAACTTTTGTGCTTCAGAGGGCACCCAGAAAGTACAAGGACAATCCACACAATGAGAGAGAATTTTTGCAAATCATAGGAAACTTCTATCTAGCATATAGAAACATTTTTGCCACTCCACAGCAAAAAGTCAAATAGTCCAATTAAAAAATGGGTAAAGAAGTTGAAAAGACATTTATCCAAAGATGATGTACAAATGGCCAATAAGCACACAAAAAGATGTTCAACATTGGTCTACATCAAGGGAATGCAAATCACAACCACAAATTCACACCCACTAGGATGGCAATAATAAAAAGAGAATAGGAGCTGTTGGTAAAGGTATGAAGAAATTGGAACAGTCATACCCTGTTGGTGGGAATGTAAAATGGTGCAGCCACTTTAGAAAACATTCTGACAGTTCTTCAAACAAGAGAATTGAAACACATGTCCATGTCCAGGAACACCTGGGTGGCTCAGTCGGTTAAGCTAATGACCTTCAGGGCGCCTGGGTGGCTCAGTTGGTTAAGCGACTGCCTTCGGCTAAGGTCATGATCCTGGAGTCCCGGGATCGAGTCCCACATTGAGCTCCCTGCTCAGCAGGGAGTCTGCTTCTCCCTCTGACCCTCTCCCCTCTCATCCTCTCTCTCTATCTCATTCTCTCTCTCAAATAAATAAATAAAATCTTTAAAAAAAAAAAAGCTAATGACCTTCAGCTCAGGTCATGAACCCAGGGTCCTGGGATCGAGTCCTACATCGGGCTCCCTGCGCTGCGGGGAGCCTGCTTCTCCCACAGCTTGTGTGCACTCTCGCTCTCTGACAAATAAGTAAATAAGTAAGTAAGTAAATAAATAAATAAGAAAAACATGTCCACATAAAAACTTGTACATGAATGTTCACAGCAGCATTATTCATAGTAGACAAACAATGGAAACCCAAATGTGCATCAAGTGATGAACGGATTAGAACATGTATCTCCATGGGGTGCCTGGATGGCTCAGTTGGTTAAGTGTGGGACTCTTGACTTTGGTTCAGGTCGTGATCTCAGGGTTGTGAAATCAAGCCCCTCGTTGGGCTCTTGCACTGGGCATGGAACCTGCTTAAGGTTCTCCTTCTCCCTGTCTCTCAAAAAAATAAATAAATAAATAATAAGTGAAAAACATGTATCTCTATACAATGGAATATTATTCAGCAGTGAAGAGGAATGAGTACTGACACGTGCTACAGCATGGCTGAACCTTGAGAACATTGTGGGAAGTGAAAGAGGCCAGTTACAAAGACCACATATTGTATGATTCTGTTTGCACGAATTGTCCACAAGAGGCAACTCCAGAAAGATAGAAGGTAGATTAGTGATTGACCAGGGCTGAGGGAAAGGAAATGGGGTCGGGGACAATAGGGAGTGACAGCTAATGGGTGTGGAGTTTCTTTCAAGCAGGTGAAACTACTCTAAAATTAGATTGCTCGAGGGGCGCCTGGGTGGCTCAGCGTCTGCCTTTGGCTCAGGTCATGATCCCAGGGTCCTGGGATCGAGCCCCGCATCGGGCTCCCTGCTCGGCGGGAAGCCTGCTTCTCCCTCTCCTGCTCCCCCTGCTTGTGTTCCTTCTCTCGCTGTGTCTCTGTCAAATAAATAAAATCTTTAAAAAAAAATTAGATTGCTCGATAACCCTGTGAATATACTAAAAACCACTGAATTGGATATTTTAAATAGATTAATTTTATGGCATGTAAGTATTATCTTAATAAAGCTGTTAAAATAATTTTTTAGAAAAGTCAGACCATCTGAGTCCTTAAGGAGCAGGAACTGGGGTATAGGATGCCTGGGGTAGCAGAGAAAGGGAACCAAGGCATGGGTGCACTGTCTGGTCTGAGAAAGGGAACAGAGGCTGTGGATTCCTTCTAAACATCCATGGGACCCACTTCATCCTTCATTGTAGATAGATACCATGGGTATCTATTGATTAATTAGGGTATATGGATCTTGCTCAAGGTCACAAAGCAAGTTAGTAGTAACCAAAACCCCAGTCCAGTCTGTTTCTTTCCTGGACCCTGTCAGTCTTTGGTTCCAGCCTGGACAGGCAGAAAGCCTGGGGTCAGTGCTTGTCCTGCTTTGGGCAGTGAGTGTCCTTGGCCAAACTGGTGTCTCTTCCTGCAGCCACGACACCCTGCTCCCTGCTGTTGCCATGGGGCCCTCTTGTCCTGCAATGGAATGCAGGAATAAGAACGCTTTCTAAAGCTAATGTCTGAGGACCGGGCATGACAACTGTGGGTGAGGTCCCTGACGTCAAGGGAATACTTGATACTTCTGTTCTGGAGCTACTGGGGTTCACAGTCCTGACATTGCCAGCTGCAAAGTCCCCTATGACTGGCCTGTGGGCCTGGAGAGGGGCTGCCCAATGGTTACTTCCTGAGGCTGCCAGCTTGGTCTGGAGTTGGTAAGAGCAAGTCTAGAGATAAGAGCATGGAAAGGGGGATCTGGTTCACTCTGATCTTTGGATTCATTTTGGCTTATAAATCAGGAAGGCCCTAGTGGCTGGACTTTATAATCCAGCATCAGTTCTTGAGTATCCTTCTAAGAATATTCTAGAGGAATTTGAGCTACTAAGATGTAATTAAGCCCATACTAATCACACTGCCTTGCACTTTATTTTTTTCACTTGACATATTTTTGGGATATCTTTCAACAACATGGGTTAATAAGCCTCATTTTTTAAAAAAAATAGCTGCATAATATATTTTACAGCGGCTAGCCTTATTTAATTAGTCCTTTGCTAATGGACATTTAGGGTATTCCTGGTTATCACAAATTTTGCTGCACTGAACATTCTTTTTTTGTTGTTTTTTAAAGATTTTATTTATTTATTTGACAGAGAGAGACAGCGAGAGAGGGAACACAAGCGGGGGAATGGGAGAGGGAGAAGCAGGCTTCCCGCTGGGCAGGGAGCCCGATGCAGGGCTCGACCCCAGGACCCCGGGATCATGACCTGAGCTGAAGGCAGACACTTAACGGCTGAGCCACCCAGGCGCCCCTGCACTGAACATTCTTATCTTCGATTTTGCCATGGAACATGGAAGTGGAAAAAGAACTCTGTGGTGTAATTCTTTGACGCATGCTTGCCAAGTCCTAGGGTATATGCATTTAACTTTTTAATAAACATGATCAAATCATCTTCCCAGGTGCCTGGGTGGCTCAGTCGTTAAGCGTCTGCCTCCGGCTCAGGTCATGATCCCAGGGTCCTGGGATCGAGTCCCACATCGGGCTCCCTGCTCGGCAGGAAGCCTGCTTCTCCCTCTCCCACTCCCCCTGCTTGTGTTCCTGCTCTCACTCTCTCTCTCTCTCTGTCAAATAAATAAATAAAATCTTAAAAAAAAAATCATCTTCCCAAAAGGTTATACCAATTCACATTAAACATGGGCCTTTTTTTTTCTTTAAAAAGTTGTGTAGCCTTTCAGAATATGGATATGACTATAATTTAACAGCCTATCTTTCTCCACTGATTTAAATAATCACATTTATCGTAAACTAAATTCCCAGAAATAGGGCAGTTTCTAAACCTTTCTCCCCCACTCCATTGGCTAATGGATTCTTGTGCCAATAACTTATTTTAACTTCAGTGCATTGCTGTTTATCTAGTATATCAAATATATCACCTCAAACATGTATTACATAGAATTTTGGGTTTTTAAGTTGTGTTAAAAACCTTTTTGGGGGGCGCCTGGGTGGCTCAGTTGGTTAAGCGACTGCCTTCGGCTCATGTCATGATCCTGGAGTCCAGGGATCGAGTCCCACATTGGGCTCCCTGCTCAGCAGGGCATCTGCTTCTCCCTCTGACCTTCTTCCCTCTCGTGCTCTCTATCTCTCATTCTCTCTCTCTCAAATAAATAAAATCTTAAAAAAGAAAAAAGAAAATTCCATACTGCTGTAACTTTCCTATAAAAAAAACCCACAAACCTTTTTGGGGGTGCCTGGGTGGCTTAGTCTGTTAAGCCTTCAACTCTTGATTTAGGTTCCGGTCACAATCTCAGGGATCGAGCCCCAAGTCAGTCTTCATGCTCAGTGTGGAGTCGGCTGGAGATTCTCTCCTCTCTCTCTGCCGCTCTGCCCCCTCCCCACTCACACACACCCTCTCTAAAATAATAAATAAATAATCTTTAAAAACAACAAAAAACCTTTTTGGATGACAATGAATCTAAGGATTAAACTAGGAAGAATCAACATTTTTAATGTCTTTCCATTCAGGTACATGGTATGTCTCCATTCAGTTAGGGTTTAGAACCTTCAGGATGATACCATGTTTTTCATATATGTTTTGCATGTTTCTTGTGAGGTTTACTTCTTCATAGTTTATGGGTTTTGTTGTTACTATGAGTGGAACTCCTTTGTCCCCCAAGTGGGTTTTCTAGTTTGTTATTGCAGTATGCAGGAAATATTCTAATTTTGGACCTCAGTGTATTATCTGTAAAAGGATAGAATTACGCAATAAAAGGTTTCCACGATGAAATAACTATGGGCTAAACAAAGATAAATAGATTTGTTCATTGTTGGACTTATCAATGACTTTAGTACACTTTTGATCACCAACAATCCCCAAGAAGAGCATACGGAATTTCCTGTACTTCCTTGACCAGGGAACCCTTTGTCAGGACATTCTGAAAATATACACTGGGAAACAATGCAGCCAAAGACCCTTCTAGTTTCTAATCTGTCAATCTAGGGGTCTCCACTGAACCTTACCCCATGCCCAAACTCCCACTCCCTTTCCCCCAACCAAAAAACAGAAGACAGCCCAGTGTCAAAGTGAAATGCTTTAATGAGTGTTACTCAGAACCACACGTGTCTCTCAACAGCGCTGCCCGCCTCCATTGTCCCCAGCTCTTTGTTGGCAAGGAGAGCTAGCTGCCTGGGGTGGGGGGGGGCAGGGATCTGGAGTCTAAAGAGTGAGCTGGGGCAGAGAGGTTCAGGAGACACCCTGTGAGGTCTGGGCTCTTGGGAGTGAGGTGGAGGGGGCGATGGGCCTCACGCGGGTCCCTCTTCAGGCATTCCTAGCAAAGCCACAAGGGGCTCGAGGGGCGTGGGGGTCCCGATGGGCACAGGGTGGGTGCGCTCGTGCTTGCGCAGGTCGCTGGCACTCAAGAAGGCCTTGGGGCAGTGGGAGCAGGTGTAGGGGCGCACAGAGCTGTGGGTGCGGCTGTGTTTGCGAAGCCCTGCCCGGTCAGAGAAGCTCTTGCCGCACTGGGTGCAGGGAAAGGGCCGGAGCTCTGGGTGTGAGCGCTCATGCCGTCGCAGCAACGTCAGCGTGGAGAACGTCTCCTTGCACTCCCGGCACACAAACTGCGGTGGCTTCTCATCATTCTCCTCGCCCCCCACCTCGCCTGCTCCCCCCAAGGGACCAGGAGCCTCCCCAACCCCAGCATCTTGGCACTCCACATGTTCCACCGTCATGCCCACCACTTGCCACTGGGTGGCCATCACACCACCTGATTCCGGGGGCAGCCCCAGCAGCCCTGCTGGGGGGTCCCCTAGCCCTGCACCTGCTGCCGGGGCTGCGGGGCCCTCGCCTGCCACGCTGACTGGCAGTGCCAGCCCCACTACCAGCTCCTGCTGTGGGGGCGCCCCTGCGGCCTCGCTACTTCGATGGGTCCGCTCATGCTTCCTCAGGCTTGATGATACCACGAAGGACTTCCCGCAGGCGTTACAGTGGAAGGGACGCTCGCCCGAGTGCACCCGGCTGTGCTTAGTGAGACTGGCTCGCTCGGCGAAGGCTCGCCCACACTCCTCACAGCGGAAGGGCCGCTGGCCCGAGTGCACCAACGCATGGCGCTTGAGGTCCCAAGACGCCACAAACGTCTTGTCACACTGCAGGCACTTGAACGGCCGGTCACCCGTGTGCACCCGCCGGTGCATGGCCAGGTCTGCGGGCTGCCGAAAGTCTTTGCCGCACTTCTCGCAGCGATAAGGCTTCACGCCCTCGTGCGCCCGCTGGTGGCGCCGGAAGCTCGAGGGGTCGGAGAACATGCGGCCGCAACGCGGGCACAGGAAGGGCTTCTCGCCGGAGTGGGTGCGCTCGTGGCTCTGGTAGGAGCTGAGCTGCGTGAAGCCCTTGCCACAGGCTGGACAGCGATAGGGCTTCTGAGCCGCATGGATGCGCTGGTGGCACGTGAGCGAGGATGAGCGGGAGAAGCTCTTGCCACACTCTGAGCAGAGGAAGGGGCGCTCACCGGTGTGGGACCTGTGGAGGACGGAGGACCGGACGTGAAGGTGGCAGGCCTATCACCTGACCCCTGCTGCCTGTCTGCCCTGTACAGTAGGGGCTCCTAACATCCTCGGGGAACACAGGGCTGCACCCCGGAGTCAGAAACCTTCAGTGTCTAGATCCCAGATAAGACCCCCTCTCTGCAGACCAAAGGCCAGGCTCCACTCCCACCTACGGGCCTCCACCAGAGATCCTCTGGGGGGCACGACTTCCGGCCCTGCCCCCTATCCAGCTGTCCAGGGACCCAGGCCAGTTAGATCCCAGCAGAATCCTCCAGGGCTGGCTTCCAACACAGTCTGCCCCGCCCCCCGCCCAAGCTGGGGCACCCGCTTCTCGCGTTCTTTCACTCGGCTCTCCCTGCAGCCCCGCCCCCCTCACCTTCCATTGGCTCTTTTCACTCTGTGAGACTCAACCCCTGTTCCCATTGGTCACAGGGCAGCCTTGCCCCACCTCCGCCCCATTGGCCGGCTCTTCCCGAAGCTCTTCCCAGCCGGGATCACCCACAGCACAACGCCCTCACCGCTCGTGGTTGCGCAGGTCCTTGAGCTCCGCGTAAGCCTTGCCGCAGCGCTCGCAGCCGTATGGCCGCAGGCCCGCGTGCGTGCGCCGGTGTTTGCGGAACACCGAAGGGTCGGCGAAGCTCTTGCCGCAGTCGGCGCAAGCGTAAGGCCGCTCGCCTGTGTGACCACGCTGGTGAATCTTGAGCTTGGAGAGCGCGCCGTAGGCCTTGGGGCAGTGAGCGCAGCGGAAGGGCAGCTCGCCAGCGTGCGAGGCCAGGTGCACGCGCAGGCACACGGGCTGCATGAAGCGGCGGCCACACTCGGGGCAAGGGAAGGGCTTTTCACCAGTGTGGCTGCGGCCGTGACTGCGCAGCTCGGGTGCCGTCTTGTAGGCCTTGGGGCACAGCGGGCATGCATAAGGCCGAGGCTTAGCCGATGCACCTGACACCTTGTCCCCGCCAGCATCCTCTGCTTTGGGTTCTGTCTCCGGCTTCAGCTTCGCTTCCGCCACCTCCTCTGCGCAGTCTACAGGACCGTGTGTGGCAGCGTGACGTGCTGCCCTAGGCGCATTTGGAAATGTCTTAGTACAGGACAGGCACTTGTAGCGGCGACCCGAACGCTTGTAGCCGGGGGCGGGGGCGGAGGACCGGGCCTCCGCAGACTCCACCTCCATGCCTCCAATGGGCGGAACTTCTCTAGGAAAGACGCAAAGTTAGACTCAAGCCACATGCCTTTGCCGTTCTCCAAGGCCTCTCCTTGCTAAGGTCTCAAAGGGGGGCTCTGTCTTATCTGCATTTCTCTCACCAGGGATGGCTATATCTTTCCCTCTAAGCATTCCTGGCTCTTACACTCTGCCCTTGAGTTTCCTCTCTGGTCTGTTCATTGATGAAAGAAGTTGGACCAGGTAACCTCAGGGGGGCCAAGAGAGGTTGGCGTCATCAAAATGCCCCCAGCCTCTGGGCTTCTTCAAATGCTGTAGCATTCCCAGAAGGCCCAGGTTCCATCCATCTCACCATCTTCCTTCTTCAGCTCAGAGGCTAAGGCCTTGTGCCAGGGCACAGGGTCCTCTGCAGGGCTGCAGACACAGAGGCTATCTGGATGTGGGTCTGGCCTGAAGGTTGCCAAGTGCCCAGGGAAGACAGAGGTAGGTCCAGAAGAAGGCAGAATTAGTGGGCTAACTGGTAATTGGCACCGTCTGTCTGAAGCGAAAGGTCCCCAGTGTATGTTTTTTGTCTTTCCCCTCTGGTTAGTCAGAGGCAGCAACTGTTTGCACACAATTCTGGCCTTGCACAGCTGGAAGGGACTCCACCCCAGGCAGGAATCCTGGTCCACCCTCTGCTCTGGAATTGCAGTTGGGCTCATGTTCCCAAAGCTCTGGAAATGGGGAACTCATTACCCTCAAGGCAGCTTGGGCCACTGCTAGCAGTTAGAAGTGTCTCAGTCATAATATGTCTGATTTAGCCTGGCCTCCTGGGGCACCCGCTCTAGTTAGGCCCCTTCTTTCTCATTCAGTGCTTGGACACCCTCCACCCAGCTGCTCCTGGGGATCATGGCTGGGAGGAAATAGGATTAATGGCTGCATTAGTCTTAACACCAGCTCATCCTCCCAAGGGGATGAAAAGAAGAGGATTATGGGCAGATCCACTTAGGGAGTACTCAGCAGCAGCTGCTGGGGGCGGCCAGTGTGAGGGGGTAAGGACGCTGCCATAGGCAGGGGAGGGAGCCAGGTGGGTCCCGAAGCTAGGCTGGGAAGAAGGAGACCTGAGTCTAGTGCTCCTTTCTAGGCCTGTTTCTTCATCTGTATACCTCAGGGTTTGGTGGCTTCCAAGTTATGACCCACAGGGAGCCCTTGGGGTAAGTGGCAAGGGCTGCATCTTTAGAGTTAGTACCCTTATGCCCAGTGGCCCTGCCCCAGTCCCCTGCCCCTAGACGCATAATATGCTTTGTGTACAGGCAGCCAGAATCTTCTTCATAAAGTATCATGTCATACTTTGTCCCCTGCTCAGTAACTTTCCATGACTTGCATCACACCATGCAAGCTCCCAGGTCCCTCCTGGCTGTTACAAATCCCATCAATCCTTCCTTTGAGCCCCACTTCCCCAGGATGCTTTTCCTGCATCTCCCCTATGGTTTTTGGCCCCAATCCCACACAACTCTGTTCCCCCGCCCCACGCCCCCCCCCCCACTTTTCCCACCAAGTGCTGGGGCTGGAAGGTGAGTTAAAGGGCATGAGGCCTAACCTTCCCCGTGGCTTGAATTCCCCCTAGAAATTCCAGCGGATTCTTCCCTATCTCTAGATGAGGCAGTCACACTACCTCCTTTCCAGACCATCTCTGGATAGTCTGATAAAGTTTCCCTTTAATAAAAATTATAGCTCCTATAGCACTTGCTAAATAAGAGGCAGTATCCTAAGCTCTTTACATGTATTAACTCAAACTTCATGTCAACACCACGAGAAGAGTTCTATTATACAGATTCCTTTTCTACAGAGAAGGAAACTGAGGCCCAGAGAAACAATGTAGCACTGTAGTTAAGTATCCCATCTCTGAGGCCAAACTGCCTGGCTTCCAGTCTTGCCTCATTCACTTCCTAGCTGTGACCTTGTGCTATGGTACCTCGATTTTCTCATCTGAAAAATGGAGGTAATAATAGTACTTACTTCACAGTGTTGGTTGAGTTATATGAATAACTGCCCTCAATTATTGAGAGTCTTCTTAGAGCCAGACACTTTGCTGAGCGTGCTACCTTATTTCTCTCACAGCTTCCTGAGATAGAGATTCTTGTCCTCATTTTACAAACAAATGAACTGAGGTTCCAAGAGGTTTAGTGACTAGCCCATGGTCACAAAGCTAGACTCACAGCTGGGACTTGAATTCAGGTGTTTAACTTGCCTTGAGTTACTGGGATCTTTATCAGCTGTCTGGGCCCCCCAGATTTGTCTGCTGCCTGGGCCTGCCCTACGCTGACCAGAACCCAGAGTTCAGGCCACATCTTCATGTTCTCTCATCCCTGTGGAACTGCCTTGAGACCAGAACCAGCACCCTTTATGTTTCTGTGTCCCTCTCAGAGGGCTTGACCCCTGGGTTCCAAGCTCTGGGCTTCAGTGTTCCTATCTGTGAACCAGAAATCAGAGAGCTGGAGGTGTACATCTCTCCTCCTAAAGCACTTCCTTGGGGGAAAAGGTAGGGAAGCACCAGGTTGGTTGCAGCAGGTGTCCAGCTCCATGAAGAGCAGGGGACCACGTAGGCTAGGCCCCTATCTAAAATCCCACCATTAGGTCCTCACTTCATGGTTTACCAAGGACTCTTCCACCCACCACTCTCTAGACTGATGTTTCTCCCAAGTCAGGTCTGTGAACACCCTGCGTGAGGATAATCACCCAGAGAGCATGGGCTGGACTCAGAAATCTGTACTTTAAACAGGCTCTTGGGGTCATGACAGCCAACACTTAACACTTAAGAACCAAAGACATGGGCGCCTCGGTGGCTCAGATGGTTAAGCATCTGCCTTCGGCTCAGGTCATGATCCCAGAGTCCTGGGATCGAGTCCCACATCGGGCTCCCTGCTCCTTGGGAGCCTGCTTCTCCCTCTGCCTCTCTCTCTCTCCTGCCTCTCTCTCTCTCTCTCTCTCTCTCTGTCTCTCATGAATAAATAAATAAAATCTTAAAAAACAAAAAAACCCCAAAAAGAACCAAAGACATATCCTTAGGTCTTCACAAAGCTTCTAGGAGAGAGGCATTTTTACTAGGCCTCTCTTCAGATACGGAGATTCACCCCCCCACCCCCCACCCCCTTAAGGGAAAACACTTGTATAAGGACACCAAGCTACTCAAGAGGCCAGACTCAAATCCAAGTCTTCAGGCCCCTGGGCTGGGTTCTTTCTCTACCAGTCTGTATTTACTTCAGGTTTATGAACCAAATCAGGAGATTTTCCACTGCTCCTAGAACAAAGACCTGTATCTTTTCCATGTGGAAGGCTACCTCACCTCCCACTCCTCTTTGTGGTCTTACGAGGCTCCACCCACACAGGCTCCCTTTCTTTTCTAAAAGAGCTATGGGGCGCCTGGGTGGCTCAATTGGTTAAGCATCTGCCTTTGGCTCAGGTCATGATCCCAGGGTCTTGGGATCGAGCCCCGCATTCGGCTCCCTGCTCACCGGGAAGCCTGCTTCTCCCTTTGCCCCTCCACCTGCTTGTGCTTTCCCTCTCTCTGTCAAATAAATGAATAAAATCTTAAAAAAAAAAAAAAAAAAAAGCGAAATTCCTTCCCACCTCAGGGCCTTTGTACTAGTGGCTCCCTCCACCAGGACCACTGTTCCCCAAAGATCATTGTGTAGCTATCTCTTTGATTTCATTTGGGCCTCAGCCCCCTGTCACCTCCTCAAAGTAGGCTTTCCTGACCACTTTTCCTTCTTTTTTTTTTTTTAAGATTTTATTTATTTATGTGAGAGAGAGAGAGCTTAAGGGGGTAGGGTCAGAGAGAGAGAAGCAGACTCCCTGCTGGGTAGGGAGCCTGATGTGGGACTCGATCCTGGGACCCCAGGATCATGACCTGAGCGGAAGGCAGTTGCTTAACCAACTGAGCCACCCAGGCGCCCCTCCTGACCACCTTTCTTAATGCTGTTTGTATTCTCGCTAATGGGCCAGGTCTCATTCTATGCATTTTGTGGGTACTCCTCAAGCTAAGCCTCACAACTGCCTAGAAATTTCTTATGGACTGAATGCACGCATGCACAGAGGATATAACAAGAGGGTGGACATCTACAGGCCAGGAAGAGAGTCCTCACCAGGAACTGAATTGGCCAGCATCTTGATCTTGGACTTCCCAGCCTCCAGAACTGTGAGAAATAAATTTCTGTTGTTTAAGCCCCTTAAGTCTGTGTGGGGTTTTGTTGTTGTTGTTGTTATGCATAGCCTGAACAGACTAAATTAAACAGCATTATTTCCGCCATTTTACAGACAAGGATACCGAGGCACACAGACATGACGTCGTGGCCACAACCAGTGTTCAAAGCCAGGTGGTCCGGCTCTCAAACTTCTGCTTTCTGTCCTGATTGTTGCTCTGGTGCACTTACACATCTTATGGCTGGATTATTAATTCTCTGTCTCCAGCACCAGGGTCTAGGCTGGCAAAGAGCCAGGAACCTTCATTTTTTTGGTATCCTCTACACCTAGAACTGTGGCTGATGCCCCAAAACAAAGTGAATGAATCAACCTCTGAAACAGAACTCAAACCCACGTCTATTGCCTCTGCCTCCTCCATAGTAGGAGTTTGTGAGAATTTCTGTAAACAATTATTTATTAACTGAATTTCTCTGCCTTTCCAAGTTCACAAGGTCCAAATATCACCCAGTATCCTACAGTGGGTTCATTGCTCTGGTGAGGGAGGCTTGTCTTTGCTTCACTACTGGCTTAGGAGGGAGATGCAGGCCTGCGGCCTGAACATGCCAGAGATGCACTGATTTCATTCCCAGACAGCTTAGGCTAGGACCCTGTGAGCTGGGATGAGGTAAAAAAAGAATTACTTTTTATCTCCCCTGCACCTTGGTCTCCCCATGTGTAAACAAGTAGACATCAGTAAGGCCTCACCGGCCATGAGACCTGGTGAGATGGTGAATGGGGAACTGTAAACCGTGCAGAAGTGAGGGCTAATCATCTCCTAGGCCTCCAAGCTGGTCAGTTCACAACCTAATCCTAACCTACTTTTTCAGCCTCAGCTCCAGCGGCAGTGTCCCCCTCCCAACAGCAAACTAAGCCCCAGCCTCAATTCTCAAAACTTTCTCACCTAAATGCATCTCCACTTGCAGTTCTCGCTGCCTCGGGAGCCCTTGCTTACCTTCTCCCATGGGAAAAACTCTTTTGCATCCTTCAAATACCCCCTTCCTCAGTGCCCTCAAGAATGCCTAATAGGCAGTAGAGGTAAGGACGCCACGGCGCTTTGGGCCTCAGTTTTCTCATCAGTAAAATGGGATCTCTCAGGTACGTGGGAGTTTGAAGGGCTTTAAGGCCTAAGACACGCTAAGGGGCCTAGAGCTGCAGAAACCCTGCGCCTCCAGTTCCCAGCAACTATCTACACGTCGGCGCCCCCACCAGACAGCCCCGCAGGGCAGATCCCTGGGCTGACTCGTCTCGGAAGGCTGGGAAAACGTGGCCTCGGAGAACGAGTCAGGAAGGAGTGAACGAAGAATGAGAGATGAACAAATGAATGGGCCAAGGGCCGGACGCTGGACAAAGGCCTGCAAGATGGCGTTCTCTAGGACCGCGGGAGGGGCGACTAGCACCTCGGCCGGGGAGGGGTGCCGCCGGCGCCGGGGACCTTGTGAGGCGGGCCGCGCGCCTGGGACAAAAGCCCGCAACATGGCGGGCTCTAGGACCCCCAAGGCCCGCACCGTGCGAGGCTGGCAGCCGCGCCGGCCGAGCCCAGGAGTCCGCAGCAGACGGCCCGCGGGGACAGCCGGCGGGTTCTAGGACCCGCTGGGCCGGAGCCCGCCGGCGCCCTCCCGGGGCCGCACTCCTCCCGCCCCGCCCGCTCTGCTCGCGCCAGGCCAACTCCATCCGTCCTCTGCACCCACAGGGAAACTGAGGCCTCTCGGACTGCGTCCGCGCTGGGGCGGCCCGGGGGTCCCCGCGGCTTCCCGCCGGCATTTCCTACCTTAACGAACTTGGGTTGGCTCCGTGGCGTCAGCGGCAGCTGCTCTCGCCGACGGAGCCCGGGACACTGCCAGGGAGGGGCAGGCGCTAGGACCCAGTGGGGGGAGGGGGAAGGCGGGGCCCGCAAGCGGAAGTGGGCGGGAGCTTCTCCCGCCCGGGAGGAAGGCAAAGTTGACCCGAGCAATGCAGGCGAAGGTGGCAGAGAGACATCTTGCAAGGGTTCTCTGTGGGTGCTAATGACAGGGGACGCCACACAGGTTTACGGTATACACCGGGCTATTGCTAGTTTGGGGCCAAGTCACCAAGAAGAAGGCGGGAGGACAGAAGGGCCATAGCAAGCTTTGTAGTACCCAAATCCGCTTATATTCCACCACATTTCCCTCAGCAAAGAGTGAATGAAACTCCCTCCATCCGTCTTGGGAAGGTTTTCAGGGAGCTCCACGAAACGTGTCGCTAAAGTACCGAGGCCAGAGCAGCAGAACGCATTTTTTCCTCGTCTGCTTTCAGCCAATATGCACCGGAACAATTTTCGCAGCTCTTGCCGGAAGTGTGGCTAAGACTAGTGGCAAAACAACCCAGCGCTTTGACCCCCCTGGGCGGGGTCACAGTCCCGTTTCAGCTACCTCTCCCTTAGCCCCGGAAGTGTGTCTGTGTAGAACCGCTGCTTGGAGGCGGCACAGGAAGTGTTCTCGAGGCAGAGCTTTCGAGGGGAACCTTTTGCGGCTAGGACACTTCCTGTTTCCTAGTAACAATAGGAAGTGTCCGCGGAGCTGGGGGTGGACTCTGGCTCCGGCCAGCTGCGCCCTCTTTCCTCTCCCTCTTTCCTTCTCCCTTTTCTCCTTTCCTTCTTTTCCTCCTTTCCCGCCTCCCAGGAACCCTGGCGAAGTGTGCGTGTGTGGGAGCGCGAGAGCCCCCCGCAGCCACCCCTTGGGGCGCGCGGCTGCAGTTAGGGTGAGGGTCCCAGTGCGCAGGCGCGCTCCCGTTCGCGGTCCCCAACGGACTCACCCGCGGCGGGAACGAAAAGGGGCCACCCGAGCGAGGTAGGGGTCCTGAGAGGAAATTGGCCGAGGAGATGAGTGAGGCGAGAAGACCTGGTTGGTGGCTGATCAGGAGAAGGGGCTCGAGCGAAGGGGCTTTGTGAGGTGAGAAGTCGGGGAGCAGGTTCAGTGAGGGGGTTTAGATCCGGAGATATGAGTTGTGTGTATAGAGGTCCCATGGGAGTGAAGAATCAGAGTCAGCGAAGGCCAAGGTGATGGAGGAGGCATAGGGGCCTGCTAGGGAGAGAGTAAGGGCTTTGGAAAGAAGATTGCCCCAGTCACTGGGTTTGCTCCTGTGTAAGCTGGGATAACAGGCGCTGCAGTGTGTTTCGAGGATTCAGTGACACAACGAATATTCTTTACTTAACACAGTGCCCCGCACATGGTAATGCCCACTTAGCATGTGTTGATGTCACCATGCATATTTTGAGAGGAGATAGAAAAAATGAGAAGGGTAAGAAAGAAAAAGGTGGGGGGTGAAGAACAACCAGAAATGAGTTGGAATTTCCAAGATACAAGATAATTTGGGTTCAGGGGAAGTAGGTGAAGGAAGTGGCCAAGAGAGTCTTAGGAAAGAGACCTTGTGACCCTGAAAGGAATAGGGGAGGTGGGGGAACAAGCCAGCCCTTTCTTTGAAGAGGGTCTGACCCTACCTCTCAGGTCCTCAGCTGTCAACTGAAGAAAAAGACTGCTTTTCAGTGTCTCTAGGCCACTCTGTTTAGCGGAGGGGTCAAGGAGAGAGGATTGGACTTCGCCCATTTGAAGGTCCTAGAAAAGGTTCAGGTTTCCTTTTAAGAGGTCACAAGAGATAGGTTGGTTGGTTGTTTCCGAATTATACAGAGGAGAGGGTTAGGGACAGTAAAATTTTTTGGATTTGGTCTGATGAATAGAGGTAGGTAAGTCTGTGATCAGAGATGAGGTTGCATCGCTCTAGACTTCAATGTCCTTATCTCTATCTCTAGGGATGAGTTAGGCCTAGGGGAGCTTCCATATTTGGGGAGATTTTGTGCAGGGAGGCCTTAAATGATGGGTGCTTTCAGATCTAGCAGAAAGCAAGTCCCTGGGCATTACTGCTTGGGGACCATTTCTGTGACCTCTGATGAGCTTGTTGCTTGTAGAGCCAAGAGGCAAAGTTAACTCAGGCCTTCCTTCTGACCACCACCTCCTCTTCCTAGGCCTCCCAGAGGAAGATGCTGCTGCCACCTGCCTGGTGTTCCTGAACCTCCAGGTTTCTGCCACACTGCCCCATGGAGGACACGCCCACCTCACTCAGCTGCTCTGACTGTCAGCGCCACTTTCCCAGTCTCCCGGAACTGTCCCGGCACCGCGAGCTGCTCCATCTGTCTTCCCAGCAGGACAGTGAGGAGGCAGACAGCATCCCTCGGCCCTACCGCTGTCAGCAGTGTGGGCGTGGCTACCGTCACCCAGGGAGCTTGGTCAACCACCGGCGGACCCACGAGACTGGTCTTTTCCCCTGTACCACCTGTGGCAAGGACTTTACCAATCCCGTGGCCCTCAAGAGCCACATGAGGACTCATGCTCCCGAGGGCCGCCGTAGGCGCAGGCCTCCCCGCTCCAAGGAAGTCATTCCGCGCCTGCAGGGGGAAACAGCATCCTCTGACTCTAGGGACCAGAGGCTTAGCCCTGGGGAAAGCTGGACAAGCCAGAAAAAACATGCCGAAGAGACATCTGGCTGTGAGTCTGGGCCTGACCCCAGGGCAGCTCTGAGCGCTAGGGAGGATCCACCCACCAGACAAAGAGAAGGCTGGGAAAGACACCCAGATTCTGCGGAGGGTGCAGAGGGCTGGGGGCCCACTACCAGTTCTGCCAGAGCCACCCCGCTCCCCACCGCAGCCAGCAGCCTCCTTAGCAATTTGGAACAGTATTTGGCTGAATCCGTAGTGAACTTCGCCGGGGGCCACGAGCCCCCTCAGTCAACTCGTGCTGAGGAGGAACGGCGGTACAAGTGCGCTCAGTGCGGCAAGACTTACAAGCATGCCGGGAGCCTGACCAATCACCGCCAGAGCCACAGCCTGGGCGTCTACCCTTGTGCCATCTGCTTCAAGGAGTTCTCGAACCTCATGGCCCTGAAGAACCACTCCCGACTCCATGCCCAGTATCAGCCTTACCAATGTCCTCACTGTCCCCGTGCCTTCCGGCTCCCCCGAGAGCTGCTGGACCACCAACAGTCCCATGAGGGTGAAAGGCAGGAGCGGCTATGGGAAGGGAAAGGGACGCCCGCCACCAATGGGCACGTGGAGGAGAGCAGCCAGGACCAGCTCCCGACTACACAGATGCTGAACTGCTCCGGGGAGCGCAGCGCCTCTGGGGAGCTGGAGGACGGTGGCCTAGAGGAGTACCGGCCTTTCCGCTGTGGGGACTGCGGCCGTACTTACCGCCATGCTGGGAGCCTCATCAACCATCGCAAGAGCCACCAGACAGGTGTCTACCCCTGTTCCATCTGTTCCAAGCAGCTGTTCAACGCGGCTGCCCTCAAAAACCATGTGCGGGCTCATCACAGACCCCGGCAGGGAGCTGGGGAGGATGGGCAGCCATCAGTGCCACCAGCCCCCCTGCCTGTGGCTGATACCCCCCACAAAGAGGAAGAGGTCCCTGCCACCACCCTGGACCACCGCCCCTATAAGTGCGACGAGTGTGGTCGGGCTTACCGCCACCGGGGGAGCCTGGTGAACCACCGCCACAGCCATCGGACAGGAGAGTACCAGTGCTCACTCTGTCCCCGCAAGTACCCCAACCTTATGGCCCTGCGTAACCACGTGCGGGTCCATTGCAAAGCTGCTTGCCGCAGCGCAGGCCCAGGGGCTGAGGGTCCCCCCAGCCACCTCAAGGGAGAGCTCCCTCCTGACCAAGTGGAAGCAGAGGCAGCCCCACATACAGATCAGGGGCGTGGGTGCAAACACGAAGAGGAGGCGGCTGCGGCCGATGTCCCCCCAGCAGCAAATAGGACAGCACCACAGATCTGTAGCGTGTGTGGGATGCTCTTTGAAGACCCTGAGAGCCTTGAACGTCACGGCCGGACCCATGGGGATGGGGAAGACAGCAGGACAGAAACCAGGGCGTCCCCTCCTCGGGCATTTGCTTGCCAAGATTGTGGAAAGAGCTATCGCCACTCAGGCAGTCTTATCAACCACAGGCAGACCCACCAGACGGGGGACTTCAGCTGTGGGGCCTGCGCCAAGCACTTCCACACCATGGCCGCCATGAAGAACCATTTGCGACGCCACAGTGGGCGGTGGGGCCGACAGCACGGGAGGCGGGCCAGCAGTGCTGGCAGTGGGGGTGAAGCCAAACTCCCGTCAGGCGGGAACTGGGCCCAGGACTTCGTGGGAAACAGCAAGGGCCTGGACTGTGCGCGAGACCCTTCAGGGGGAGGTCCTAATGGAACCGCAGGCAGCTCAGAAAGCAATGAGGGCTGTCTGCAGACTGAAGCCGAAAGGGCTAGATGTGGGCTCGAGCGGGCGGAGGCCCGTATCCAGGGTGATAAAGAGAGCAGGGGTACTGAGGAAGGGCTGGAAAGGAAGGAGGCCTGTTTCCTAGACAACTTGGACATCCCAGGCAATGAGGAAAGCAATGGGACTCGCTTCTGTGATGGTCTCCCTGGGGTGGACGAAGACCGGAAACGAGCCCCTGGCCAGCCCAGCTCCCCGCACCACTCTCCTGTCACTGGCTGGCAGGCGGAGGTCTCCCACACGTGTTCGGACTGTGGGCATTCTTTCCCTCATGCCACTGGCCTGCTGAGCCACAGGCCCTGCCACCCCCCGGGCATCTATCAGTGCTCCCTCTGCCCGAAGGAGTTTGACTCTCTGCCTGCCCTGCGCAGCCACTTCCAGAACCACGGACCCGGGGAGGCCGCCCCTGCACAGCCTTTCCTCTGCTGCCTCTGCGGCATGATCTTCCCGGGACGGGCTGGCTACAGGCTTCACCGGCGCCAGGCTCATGACTCCTCTGGCCTGACCGAGGGGGAGGAGGAGGAGGGGGAGGAGGAAGGAGCCGCAGGGGCAGCCTCCGCCCGGAGCCCTCCGCTGCAGCTCTCGGAAGCAGAGCTGTTGAATCAGCTGCAGCGGGAGGTGGAGGCGCTGGACGGAGCTGGTTATGGGCACATCTGTGGCTGCTGCGGTCAGACCTATGATGACCTAGGGAGCTTGGAGCGTCACCACCAAAGCCAGACTTCTGGGAACACCACAGACAAACCTCCCAGCCACTTAGGAGAGTCAGGCGATGCCATGGGAAGGGTTGCAGGTGACGACCGTGTCTTTGAGGGCACGGTGACCTCTCTCTCTGGGGAAGGTGGGGACACAAAGTCTGGAGAGGGAGTGGGTGCTATGGTTGTAGACAGCCTCTGCACGCGGGGGGAGGAAAGTCCGCCAGAGGCCCAGCCCCGCCCCTTCCGCTGCAACCAGTGTGGCAAGACCTATCGCCACGGGGGCAGCCTGGTGAACCACCGCAAGATCCACCAGACTGGAGACTTCATCTGTCCCGTCTGCTCCCGCTGCTACCCCAACCTGGCTGCCTATCGGAATCACCTGCGAAACCACCCGCGCTGCAAGGGCTCCGAGCCCCAGTTGGGGCCCGCCCCGGAGGCCGGAGGCAGCAGCGAGCCTCGGAACGTGGCAGAAGAAGGGCTGGGGCAGGCAGATGGCGGAAAGCTCCAGGAAGAACTTAAAGTGGAGCCCTCGGAGGAGGTGGCAAGGGTGAAAGAGGAGGAGTGGGGGGAGGCCACCGTGAAGGGGGAGGAGGTGGAGCCGAGGCTGGAGACGGCAGAGAAGAGCTGCCAGACCGAGGCCAGCTCTGAGCGGCCCTTCAGCTGTGAGGTGTGCGGCCGGTCGTACAAGCACGCTGGCAGCCTCATCAATCACCGGCAGAGCCACCAGACTGGCCACTTCGGCTGCCAGGCCTGCTCCAAAGGCTTCTCAAACCTCATGTCCCTCAAGAACCACCGGCGCATCCATGCAGATCCTCGGCGGTTCCGCTGCGGTGAATGTGGGAAGGCCTTCCGCCTGCGGAAGCAGCTGGCCAGCCACCAGCGGGTCCACGCCGAGCGGGGCGCGAGCGGGGGCACCCGGAAGCTGACGCGGGAAGATCGGCCCTTCAGGTGCGGGCAGTGTGGGCGCACCTACCGCCATGCCGGCAGCCTCCTGAACCACCGGCGCAGCCACGAGACCGGCCAGTACAGCTGCCCCACATGCCCCAAGACCTACTCCAACAGCATGGCCCTGAAGGACCACCAGCGGCTGCACTCAGAGAGCCGGCGGCGGCGAGCAGGGCTGTGCCGGCGGGCAGCTGTGCGCTGTGCCCTGTGTGGCCGGGGTTTCCCTGGCCGGGGAGCTCTGGAGCAGCACCTGCGAGAGCATGAAGAGGAGACCAAAAGTGGTCAGAGAGGCACGGAGGACAGTGAGGGGACCCTGGCCGATGACCAGGGACTAGAGGAAAGGTCGGGTGGTCCTGAGTCAGTTCTCCAGCTGGAGGACAGAGCCAGGAGGCTGCGGGAGCAGAGGCCGAGCCCCACCGGGGCAGCAGGTTCAGAACCCACCGAGCCGGGACCCGGGGACGTGGGGAATGCCGAAGGGAGGCAAAGAGACGGGGGGCCAGTGAGTCGCGGTGGAGATTGGGTTCCTCGGGGTCATGTACTGACCAAGCCAGCAGATGAGTCAGAGGATAGTATCCCCAAGAGTCCTTGCCATCTTGGCAACACCCAGCCCAACGGACCTAGTCTGAGTTCTGTGGCTGGCTGGCACAGTGCAGACAGCCGACCTCAGCTCCAGCCCGAGAGTCCCCCATTTTCCTGCAGCCGTTGTGGCAAGACGTACTGCCAGTCGGAAGGCCCTTTGAACCGCCACAGCACCCCCGAGACAGACTGCCACCATTGCCTGCCCTGCTCCAAGGAGTTCTCGAACCCTGTGGCCACTAAGAGCCACAGCCGCAACCACGTAGCTGCCCAGACCTTTGCCTGCCCCGACTGTGGTAAGGCTTTTCAGGCCCATCATGAACTAGCCAGCCACCTGCACACTCAGGCCAGCGGCCTCAGTCAGATGCCACCCCAGATACGGGAGGCCACAGGACCTGAAGGTGGGACTGTGGAGGATGAGGTAGATAGCCCCGGCCAAGGGGAAATCCAGAAGTCCCCACCGGAACCCCCCAGGGCCCCAGGAGAGAATGCTGGGAGAGCTGATGGGGGGCAAGGAGTAAAGTCCACAGTGGCTGAAGACGAGGAACGGCCCTTCCGCTGTGCCCAGTGTGGGCGGTCCTACCGCCACGCCGGTAGCCTGCTGAACCATCAGAAGGCCCACACCACTGGACTCTACCCCTGCTCCCTCTGCCCCAAACTTCTACCCAACCTGCTGTCCCTTAAGAACCATGGCAGGACCCACACAGACCCCAAGCGCCACCGCTGCAGCGTCTGTGGCAAGGCCTTCCGGACAGCTGCCCGACTGGAGGGTCATGGGCGGGTCCATGCACCTCGGGAGGGGCCCTTCGCTTGCCCTCACTGTCCCCGCCACTTCCGTCGCCGAGTCAGCTTCCAGCAGCACCAGCAGCAGCACCAGGAGGAATGGACAGTGGCCAGCTCTGGTACGGGGGCATGAATGGCTTGGGCAGAGGACGGAAAGGTCCCAGAGGAGGTGGGCACAGAGTGGGGGTGGGGGGGGCGAGGAATGAGAGGAGAGGGTCCTATGGCTTCCAAGAGGTGTCGGGGGGCAGGGGGGCTTGGATGTGGAGAAGAGTAGTTTGAGGATCCTGCCTTGTGAGGGCTGAGATTGAAACCCTGGGCCAGGCCAACAGCATGGTGGGTTGGACAGTGGGGTGGGATAGGGTGTGCGCAGGGGCAGAGGCAGCTGCTGTGCAGGAGCCGAAGAGGAAGGGGCTTTTTGTTTGGGGAGGGGAGGCGAGGCAGCTCTCTGGCTACTACCTCTGGGAACTCCCCTGATCCGGCCAGTAAAGGAATGATTTCCAGAGAAAAATATGGTCTAGGTGGTGCTCTTTCCTTGAGGGGGGCAGGGAGCAGGAGAGTGAGGAATGGGCCGTGGGAGGCACCCCCAGACTAGACTGCTCTGTGGCTTTTGTGCTGACTTGGCCAGGGAAACCGGGCCACCGGTTGGCCCTCAGCTCCCTGTCCCTCTTCCCTGCATCTTGTCTCTGGTCCCCCTCCTCATTTCTTGGAAACTAGACCTTTGGTCCTTTGCTACTGCTACTGCCCCATGTCTCTTCTTCCCCTTATTGAACCCTTTCTTTGCTGCGCATCTCCTTTTTAGGAGCCAACCAAACCACTCCTTCTACCTGCATACCCTCCTTCCCACCAACACACCTTTAACTGGAGAACTGAGTCACAGATAATTGTTTCTTTGAAGCCAGGCACAGCTGTAGCAACAACAGTCATTAGCCCCTATCTCCCGTCCTCTATCAGGGGGAATCTCCCTGGAAAGTCACTCCACCCAGCCCAGCTGGAGGATGAAGCTGCGGGGGAGTGGGGCGGCCTGTTGTTGAGCCCTGGGCTCACACCTTCAGCCTCCCCTAGAGATGTATAGGCCTTCTCCCAGGACCCATTCCATTTAGCGGCCACCAAGGGTGGGCGTCTCTGAGACGGCAGGTCCTTGACCAGAGATTGTCAGGGAAGGAGGGAATGGTGGGTGAGAGTCCCCTGAGAGAGCTGACGAGATAGCTTTCAGGGTAAAAGATTTCTTGTGACCTCAAGGGAATGAGCAAGAAGCCAGTTAATCAGGCCTGGAAAAGTAATTGGGAGTTCTCATGCAGGCCTCTGGGGCCACGGGGGATGGCGGCAGGATGGCCTGCAGGCCTAGGGAATGGGGTGCAAGCTGTGTGGGGTTTGCCACCCTCAGTCAGTGACCACCTCTCTTTCTCCCCAGGAGTCCCAAAGGCACCAGCGGCGGGGAGAGGGGACTTGTCAGTGCCCCCTCCTCCCACCCCCACGACCTCACTTCTGGATCCTTCACCCCAGTGGCCTGCAGACCTCAGCTTCTCCCTCTAAACTTCAAGTCTCCAAAGATCAGAATACGGGCGGGGTGGGGGGGGGGTGGCGGGTTGCAGGGAAAGGCTTGATCTCCATGTTTTGCTCAGGAGTAGTTAGGCATCCCCATCTCTCACTCTCCTCTGCCACTGTGCAGAGGGCCCAGATCTGGCTTCTTGCCCAAGGAGGGGGTAAGGTATTCCTCATGTCCTTGTCCTTGAAGGCTCTCCTTTCCCCAGCCTTTGTCACTATGCTCTTCCCTATGACCAGCCCTGCAAGAAACCCGGTGCCAGGCTCTGCCACGATGTGGGGCCACGGTCACCAGCCAGATTCCAACACCAAGGAGAGGCCGATTCAGAGAGCCACAGGTGGGAATGTTGCCTGTGGAAGGGGAGCCTTTTGCTACAATTTGTAACTTATTTTCTAAAGTCTATTTTGTAACAATTTATTTAAGTTTTAAAAAAAAAGGAGAATTGCTCCCCCACCCCCTTAAAAAAAAAAAAAAGAACGAATTTTCAAAGTAAGTGGCTGGTGTGATCATATCTGAGGGGATGAATAAGGAAGGCTGGGGACGCCTGCATCGCACAGCAGAGCTGGGTGTGGGGGAGCATCCACAGGCGACATCTCCCTGTGCTGCAGGGTGGGGAGTAAGGGCAGCTGCCGGTCCAGGCAGGCTCCTTCCCAGAGCCCGCTGGGCTGTTGGGCCCACCCCAGTGCCTGGGATCCCGGGGGGCTGCGGGGGGGTGAGGATGGGAGAGGGGCAGGGGCAGTGACGCAGGATTTGTCTCACTGTGTCTGCAGCATCCCAGAGCCACCTGTCAACAGCCCGCTGGTTTGCCTGTCAGGAAGAGGAAGGAGGGTGGGGTTGGCCTCAGCCTCAGAACTTTCCTCCCTCCCTGGAAGGAAGAGGAAGAAGGTACTACTTAACCCCCATGACAGATGAGAAAACTGAGGTTGGAAGAAGTTGCGAGGCCTGCTCCAAGTCACAATGATGAAGAACCAGAATTTTGTCCACTTACCCCCCGCCCGCCGCCCTCCGGGGCAGCTAGAGGTGGGTCAGAACAGATCTTTTCCCTGGATTGAGAGAGCGTGGGTCTGGAGAGGGACGGGTCAGCGGGGAGGCCCCAGGGCCACATACTCGTGTTGGCGGAGCAGCTCTCGGGCTCGGCCTCGGGCTCCGGCTCCTCAGCAAAATAGACCTGCCAGTCCAAACTGCTGACCCAGTTCTCATACGCAGGGAGCGCCACGAAGACCGCAGGCCTTGCGGGGCCTTGGCAGGCATCTCCAAAGCTGTGTAGCCCAGCCAGGAACCATGTGCCCCTCACCTCGTGCACCAGGGGTGCCCCGGACAGGCCCTGTCAGGGGGCAGGTGACACTGGGTGACTTCCTCTTCTCCCTAGGCCGCTGTGGGGGCAGAAGGGGCTAGGGGCCGGGCCGAGGCTCTGGCTGTTTGGGAGCCAGTTGGCAGAAAGGCCCCGTTTCAAGTGAGAGGCAGGTCTGGAGGCCAAGCCTGGCAGAAGGTCTGTTCGTGAGTTACAGGACAAAGATGCCAGGGGTTGGTGGGGTAAGGTTTGGGGGACCGGGGCTCACCTCACAGTGGGGCGGCTCACCCACAACACTGGAACACACCATCCCTGGCAGAATGGGGACGCTGTCGCTCCCGAGAGTTGCATGCAGCCGGTTGCAGGCCCTGGGCCCCAAGAGGGTCACAGGCACTGTCTGAGGGGATCTGGCGCCTGTAAGGCCAAGGGAAAAGACCCAGCTGCCCCAGTGGCTTCTGAGATGGATGGACGGTTGCTGGTGGGCCTGTCCTACGTACCTGCTCCTTGGCGGGGCAGCCCCAGGACCCAGCCACGTTCCCCATCGGGCAGATGGTGGTCGGAATAGGGCAGGCAGAGCGGCCGAAGGCTGGGGCCTAGTGTCACGGGTTGGGCCAGCAACAGGAGGGCCACATCGTAGCCCCCCTCTGGGTGGGTGTAAGCCCCATGCAGGATGAGTTGCTTCAGGCCCCACTCCTCTGGTCCGGCCCCCAGCCCGATGCTCCATTCCTCTGGGGTCTGGCGCCTGGGCAGAAGCAGCATTGACGGCATCGGGTGGCAGGGCTGCCGACCAGGGCGGGGGACACAAAGGCAAGAGAGACATGGCTCACCCGATGAAGCAGTGGGCAGCAGTCAGCACGACCTCCTCTGACACCAGGGCTCCGCCACAGGCCAGCTTCCCCTGGTGCTTCAGCCTGGCATCCCAGGGCCATGTGGAGGGGGCTCCTGCCTGGGGACCTTCTCTCCTCAAGGATCCACAGGCTGGAACAGACGGGATGACATCACCTGCCTTCTTGCTAAGTGCTCCCTGCATGCCTGGCCCTGTGCTAAGCACCTCCCACGTACTATCAAATCCTCACAATATCCTTTTAAGTTGGATTTTGTTACCCTCGTTACTGAAGTAACCACAGTCCCAGAGAGGTTAAGTGACTCTCTAGCTCAGCAACCACAGGCAGGTAGCCCACTTGAGACACAAAAGGCGGGGCCCAAGCTTTTACACCCCGATTGTCTAGCCTCATGAGAGTGGCCCCCATCTGTCTGCACCCCTCCGGGCTTGGACTGGCCCCAGAACTCCTGGCTCACTGGTACTTCTCTTACCATCAAGACACAGCTCTGTCCTAGGAATTCTTTCGCATGCAGTTTGCGTGTCAGTCGGCCTGGCATCCCAGGGCGTGGCTAGAATTTTGAGTGGGAGCCCTGCCCTGTCCCATCTCCCTGGGTCCCTGCTTGGAAACCTGCAGTTTGCTCCCACAACCTTCAATTAGATCTCAGATCCCTCTTCTTACCTAAACTCTAAATGCACGAAGTTCTAAAGTATCTTCTGCCTCTCAGCCCTAAATGGGGCTGTTCCTCTCTTAAGGGCCGAAAGGGGCCTCAAAAGCCCCCTAATTAGCCCCTGACAGTATGTGAATGCCTTGTCCCAATCCTCTATTCTGAGCTCAAATTTCCTTCACTGTGCTGCCCAGAAGTCCTTATGACGCAGGCCTGGGCGTCCCCGCCTGTCCCACTGCTAACGCCCCTTGCTCATACCTACACAGCTGTCCTCGTCACTGATCTCCGGGGTCCCCGGGTTCTGGGACAGGAAGGCCGCCCCCTGAGCTCGAGCCTGCAGCCAGGAGCTGTGAGCAGCCGTGCTGGTCAGCAGCACAGGGGTGTCTTCTTGGGCACAGCTTGATGCGAAGCTGATGATCCCAGCCTGAACCCAGTGTCCGTCGGGCTCACGGCACAGCACGGGGCCCCCAGAATCCCCCTGGAGCCAGGCAAAGGAGTCAAGGGTGGACAGTTGAGCCCCAGCCATGGGCAGACACCCTGTCCTCTAACAGTGACAGCCCACCCATCCCTGTGGACTTGAGCACTGAGCCCACGGCTAGGCCCCCTCCCCTTCTGTTCCCTTGCCTTGTCTCCCGCATCAGACCTGACAGGGCCCCTGCACCCCAGGCTGGGCGCCCCCGCACAGCATCCCCGGCCGAGCTGGGTTGGCCAGCAGCCGCTGGTGCAGTTGGTTGTAGAGGCAGTTACACGTGGGGCGGCTGATGAGACGCAGGCGCAGATTCCGCAGAGTCCTGGGAGCTGGCACGAGAAGGGGGGTTGGGGGGGAGCAAGGGAGACAGCAGACGGACAGTTGGCAGCTGGGGCTGTGTGACCTTGGGCGAGCATAGTGCCTCTCTGGGCTTCGGGCTGGGCCAGCACTTACCACCATTGGTGTCCTGATCCCAGCCAGTGGCCCAGCAGGAGGTCCCAAAAGGAAAGCGATGGGTAGGTTGGGGCAGGCAGAGGGGTGTGTGGGCCGTGGGGTGGGCAAGTCGTAGCAGGGCCAGGTCTGAGCCCTGGCTGTAGTGGTTATAGGCCCTCGGCAGCTGCAGAGCCGTCACCCCCACCTTCTCGGCCCCTGGGCTCAGCCCCTCACGTTGCAGAGAACCCAGGACAACTGACCAGGAGTTCAGTTCTGTCATTGCTGCCCTGGAAGGGGAGGGACAAGGCCGAGGCACTGAATGCAAAGGGGGACAGTGACACCATGGGAGACACTACTGGGTAGGTGAAAGATGGGCAGAAATCAGCCCAGAGCTTTAAGCCAGGTCCTTCCCTCTCCCAAAACTCTGTTTTCTCGCTTGTAAGGCTTCTACCACAAACGGTTCAGATTAACTTGATAACGTGTACCGAGCACATGGCACACTCTCAGTAAATGGTACTTTGTTATTCTAGGGGCAGGGGTCAGTTTTACGGGGTTTGGGGACATATCACCCACTCCCCGCCCCCCCCCGCAAAAGCCGGAAACTCAGCTTGACCCCAGCCATGACTCACTTTTCAAAGCAGTGAGCAGCAGTGAGGACCCAGGTGTCGGCCACCAGGGATCCACTGCAGATGTGGACCCCCTGCCTCCTCACACTCGCTTGCCACGGCCACTCGCCAGGTACTGTGATGCCCTCCCGAGGCTCAGGGGGGCCAGGGCCACGCTGCCCACATACTGTAAAGAGGGGTGGATCAGACTGGCAGAAGACCCTGGTCCTGCCCTCACCACAGGCCTGAGCCAGATCCAAGAAAGGCCTGACCCCATGTCCCCAGAGCTTACCGTGCTGAGCCGCTTGAAGCCCTGGGAAGAGAGAGACACAGGTGAGACAGGGGAGCCTTACCTGCTGGGCCCAGCCTTGGTGGAAGGCAGAGGTTGGGGGGGGATGGGCCCCAGGTCCTTGTCTATGACTGTGCGGCTACCTTCCCAGCCCCTCCCAGAATGAAAATATATGAGGTCAAGAAAGAGCTTTTATTAGAACCTATTCAGAGTGTACACTCAGTAATTAATTCTCCTCCTTCAGCTGTGCTCAGCACTCCTAGGCCTGAGAAGCAGGGCCAGGGTTCAGCTTGGGACGGGTCCAGCCCTCCTCCAGGCTTCAGAACCCCCAACTCCAGCCCCCGCCACTGAGTCAGGGAGGCGGCCTATGTATGTGCAGAGCATTAGCTTAATTGTGCCCTCAGCCTCGATGCCTAAGAGGAAGGATTAGAGGCCGACGTCATGTCCAAGGGGGGGAGGGCTCCAGGAGATGGAGACTCACCCCACCCCTGTTCTGACGACTCAGACTCCCCCACCTTTCCAGAATCTGCCAGAAACTCTACCAAAGGATCCCCTGCCCTGCCTGTGTCCCATCACAGGCACATCAACATCTGGGCCAGGAGAGGCCAGGAGAGATGGGACAGAGAGATGGAGAGACAGAGCCAAAGGGCTCCCAGAACCTGCCGAAGGTCATTCTGGAAGTAGAGAGGCAGAGAGGGACACAGGGTACACACAGGCACAGTGACTACAGGCACAGACTGTCATCTGGCCCAAGAAAGTCCCACCCGTTTTGTCACAGGTGGCCACATCCATTTCCCCTCCTCCACAGCCAGACAGAGGAACATCAGCGAGGGCCGACTGTCGCCCCACAGGCACGCGCCCTCACCCACACCGAGCTGCAAGGCTGCTGGGACAGAGGGCGGCTGGCCCCTGAACGCCCCCCATCCCACGCCCCTCCCCGCTCACACACCGGTGGCTCACCCTCGACGAGGACCACTGCTCCCAGGATGAGCTGCCCTGGTCCCCAGCTCTGCTGCATGCTGCTCCAGGCCACTCTGCCGCCCGTGGTGCTCCGCTTTTCGGAGAGGCCACCTGGG